ACAATTGGGGAAATCATAACTCTAGACCTCCTTAATCTCGACTCCAATCCTTATCCTTGTTAAGTGATAGTTTTACGGCTTTCTAGATTTGTTAGTTAATTAGATAAAAATAAATATTATAATCTTTATAATTAGAAAATTGTTTGGACTTGTGTTTCTTAGCGATATTGAACAACTATAGCTAAGCCTTAGTTCTCTGTGGGATTCGACTCCAGACTTGTAAACCGGATTATATTTGCAGCGACTGCTTAGTCCTTTTTATAAGGCATAGTTGGGCGTGATCAAATTTTGGCGCCGTTGCCGGGGAACTAACGGTGTAGTTGTATGTGTACATATTGCTAGGTTTCAAGTTTGAACTTTTATTTTGTTATTTGATTTTTATATTTTTATTTTAGTTTTATTTGTTTATTTAAGAAACATGGCATCATGGAATTATGAGAATTTTAATGTTGTGAATTCTACATTTAATCCTCCTTATGCATATTGTGAAGGAAACCACCCAGAGGAAAATTATCAATATATTCCCGAGAGCAAGTTTATTGCACCAACTCAATCTTATGTGTGGAATGTGTTTGATATGTGTGGTGGTCAAGATGGTCACTTTCACGGTTGTGCTTATATTTCTTACCTTCCCCCAACCCCTTACTCTGATGGTTCTTCTTTTTCTGGTGAAGTTAATAGGAACAAAGAACCCAGGGAAGCTGACCTAAAGAAGATCGAAGATATGTTAAAGTGCATTTTGGAACAACAGAGTAAATTACAACTGCAGATAGAAAGGCAGGAGGAAACTATTCACAACTTGAAAGTTCACATGAGTCAACTGGTTGAAGTTTTTAATGCTCAACAAGCCAATATTGTGAATAGTATCCAAGAAGAGCGTGAATTAGATACAGAAATTGATGAGCTAGAGGAGGAGGCTAGAGTAGAACACCAACAATCAATCGCACAAGATTTTGAGGATGTCGATGTTGTAGAAGAGATATTAGAGTCAACCAAGGATATTGAGGATACATATTTAGTTGACTCTATTGTCATTAGTGTTGAGAATATAGACAGTCCCAATGTTCATGTAGTTGAGCGCATTGGTCCTCACTCCAAGCATTTTTCCACTTTATGTTTAGATGATGATATGGAAATAGAGTCGTCCGAGCCATTTGAGGAGTCAAGGAATGAGAAACAAAGTGCTTACATTCTGGAATTCTTCTTGCCAGAAAGTCGGGATTACACACCTCATCTAAAGGCCAAGAAGTGCAGAATACTACATTATTTTATTGGGCCAGTCAGATTCGTTCCACCACCCCAGGAGCATGATCATAGAGCAAAATCAAAACTTGGTGTCCGATTCATAAGTTCAAAGTGGAGGCAGAAAGTGATTCACGTCGTACCGAGACGTTAAATCAAGCGCTTTTTGGGAGGCAACACAACATTGTTGCTTTCTTTTATTTATTTTTTTATTTATTTTTAATTGTATTATTTTTGTAGTGTCAATTTTTTATTTTCTAGGAGCATGGAAAACAAAGTTATTGGAAGGATGCAACAACAAATCAAATGGTTGGAACTAAGTGTGAGGTACCCGCACGAAGGACCAAGCTTGGGAGAAGTCTGAGTACCCCATGAGCTGCTAGTGCTTCGGCCTTTGGCCTACCAAGGAGTTTCTTTTACCCTCTTATTAGTATGGTGTGCATTGGGGACAATGCACAATTTTAAGTGTGGGGTGAGGAGATTGTCTAGGTGACTTTCTATGCTATTGTAGTTCTGTTATTTTATTTGAATAATTTTTTTTTATTTTTTTAGAAAAAACAAAAAAAAAGGATTGGACTTTTCCCGACGATAGATCTATTAGACAATTTTCTTGAGGGATTTAAGTCTAAAGAAAGAAAAAACAAAAATATTTTCTTTTGTTAGGTAGTGTAGCAATTACCCCTTGGTTTTTCTTTACACCACGGTTCTTTTCCTAGGGTTTTATTTGAACCGGGTGTAGTTAGTTTTTTTTAGGAATATGAACCATTGTATTGTGTTTTGAATTGAAGCAATATCTCTTGACTTTGTTATGACTTTAGAATAGTGAGTACTTTGGTTGTGACGCTTAGGATCAGTTTTTGACTCTTGTATAAGTACCTTAAATTGTATGATTTTAACTTTGCTTAACTGCTTTGACTGGAGTGTCTTGATGACCCAATCTTGAGTGAGTCATGTGCCATATGTGTGTGAGGTTTGTTGTATTCTGTGCATTGCATTTGATGTCTAGGACTTGCCCTGTGTGTTTGCAAAGCGAAATAGTAGTTTTGTTCAGTCTTGGAAGTGATATAGGTGTTTCTTTGTTGAGCCATATATGTATTTTACCCGCCTAATTGTTATGTATCGTAGTTAACCCCTTTGAGCCAATAATCCTGTTTCTTTGGCAACCACATTACAAGCCTTACCCATTTGTTTGAATTAACCATCTTTTTGAACCTTTTCACCTCTCATGAGCACTTGAATTGTTATGAACTTTGTAAAAGTTAAAGTGTGGGGTGGTTGGTTTGGCTTTTGAATGTAACTAATGCAATAAGGAGAAAGGTGCACTGATTTGAAAGAGCAAGAGTCACTTGAATTGGGAAAAAAAATAGTTGTATTGTGTGCAAATATTCCTTGATAAGTGGTGGTTCTTGATGTAATTGTGCTTAAAGAAGTCTGGGGTAATATACATTGATGTGAAGGTGGAGCTTTGGTTTTACATAAGTGGGGTTTTAAATGTTAAAGTATATGTATTAAAGTGCTTAAGGAGGTGTAGTCACTCTTATATCTAATGTATCCTACCCGCCCCGCAGCCTACATTATAACCAAATAAAGTCCTAATTGATCCTAGATTGAATGAGCTCGATTAGTAGAATAGTACACTACGGGCAAGCCTATGGTGCATCTTTTGCGGCATATGAATGTTATTTCTGAGAGTGGGTGAATTCTTTCTATCTTGAGTTCCTAAGTGTTCTTAAATTTTATTGTGTGGAACTACTCTCTTTTGTTGTGTGAGGGCACTTGATTCATGAAGGAAAGGTAATGTCAGTGACCTCTATATTAGAGTAAGTGGGTGAGTTGTGAATAATGAGTGGTACTTGTGAGTCAAATCTTGATGTGAAGATGTTACGCTTTTGTGCTTAGTCTATTTTAAATATTCTTGGTGTGTTGAGTTAGGAAAATTGTTTAAAGAGGTTGTGTCTATATAAAGTGTAGTTTGATCAATGGGCTAAGTGTGGGGTGTTGATGATAGGCTATAATTACGTATTTTAGTCGCTTATTACACTCTAATTTACTGCATTTTAATTGAGTTTGAGCTTTAATCGCTAGTGTCTTGCACTAACTGTGTGTTTTATGCCTTGTAGGAGTGATTTCGATCTATATAGATATTATGGAATGAATTAAAGTGATTTCGAGCTTTGAAGTCTGAGTAAAAGTCCAAGGAATTAAGCCGGGATTGTGTCAGGGGTTACCTTTGATAGTTAAGAACAAACGAAGACTCGAGTAGGCATATTGCGCACTGTCTAGTAAATTGAACATAAACTTTTCCTCAGAACTCCATTTGGGCTCCACGATATATGGTTGGAAAGATAACTCAAAGGGATACAACTTTCATGTTTTTACATTTTTTCAAATTCCAAACGGAACAGGGTGAAAAATGCGCGTCAATAGCGCAGCCGCGCTCAGACTGCGCTCGTCAGGCAGAATACTGGGCAATATGCGCGGCCACTAGCACGGTCACGAGCGCGGCCGCGCTAGTCAAACCCGGGAAAAGTATCCTTTTTTCACATTGGAGAAGGTATAATTATTTGGGCCCAACCCTACTTGGTATATATACGTGGAAAACGGTATTTTGAGGGAGTTGGACATATTTTTGACACAGATTTGACCTAAGGAGGCAGAGGCACAATAGGAGCAAGGCGGGGAATTCTTCTACGAGTTTTTCCTTCCTCTTCCTATTTTTCATTGTTGGTTATGACTTTTAGTATTGTAGTTTTACATGCTATTATGAATAGCTAATTTGTTATCTAGGGTTTTGATGGAACCTTTTGTAGGATAAATTCTTATTATGTTTTTATATAATTGAGCCGTAGTATTTTCTCTATTTGTTCAACTATATGTTTATTGTAGTTAATTGACAGGATCCTCAATTAGCTGTGCCTATTTACTGTGCATAACTCGGGAGAGAGCGCATATTTAGGTAATTATTGAACAACACCACTCCCAAAGTATATGAGGGATCAATAACTGAGGGTTTGAAGGCGGGATTAGGGATAACGAAACCTTGGATGCGATCTAAGTGAGCTGTAACAAAAGCCAGCTAGCGTAACTGGGGAGAGTGCGTCTAGTAAATTGTGGTAATTACTCGGGAGAGAGTTACGACAGCCAGAGCGCTCATGATCGGTAGAGAATACTTAGGCGAATTTATAGAAAATGTAGCGGGAAGGATTCCGACAATTGGGGAAATCATAACTCTAGACCTCCTTAATCTCGACTCCAATCCTTATCCTTGTTAATTGATAGTTTTACGGCTTTCTAGATTTGTTAGTTAATTAGATAAAAATAAATATTATAATCTTTATAATTAGAAAATTATTTGGACTTGTGTTTCTTAGCGATATTGAACAACTATAGCTAAGCCTTAGTTCTCTGTGGGATTCGACTCCGGACTTGTACACCGAATTATATTTGCAGGCGACCGCTTAGTCCTTTTTATAAGGCATAGTTGGGTGTGATCATGATTTGTGACTAATTTGCCAATTTTTTGGTGGTGATAAGAGCTAGGGTGGAAAAAATGAGAAAAAGAAAATGATCACACTGAGAAGCAAGGTATGTAGTAGCTCAACCTGTCTTATCTATATTTTTGCCGTCTTATATACCCAAATTATCATTTTTCTTTAGACACTGTTAGATCAACAACCCCAACCAAACCCCTCCACCCTAACAGGATTAGACTACACACAATAAATATATAAACATAACATTTGCAAGAACTCAATAGTAAAGAAAATTAAAGAACAATCAAATTAGAGTATCAAAAATGAAAATGAAGTTTATGATAATGATGATCAGTTTGTTATCTGGGGTAGCATTGGGTCAAAACACGAACTGTATAAACAGGTTGTTGCCGTGTATGAACTTTTTCAATGGATCAAGAGGGAATCCACCAGAAAGTTGCTGCAATCCACTAAAGGATGTTATAGAAAACATGCCTGAATGTTTGTGTCAAATGATTAGCGTTAAAGGGAGCAATGCCGCTGAGCAAGCTGGAATTAATGTCAATGAGGCTCAAATGTTGCCTGCTAGATGTGGACAGCCCGTTAATTACCTTGGATGTCTTAAAGGTATGTCGCCCTGAACCAGCTGAGGCAAATTTAGGGCAAATTCTATAGATTCAACCGAACTCATTACTTTCGGTCAAACTATAGTTTACACATGTAAAGATAATACACTCATTCTAATATGAAACTAAGGAAGGGATGAAATCGCAAACAACATATAATAGAGGCATATCACGTACTAATAATTTGATTAGCATTCTTTTTCTCCTATTGTAGTGTAAGCATTTCATGTATTAGTGTGACGACCCAAAGGGGTCATCACCCGTTTTCTTATTCATTCCGTACTTCCGAGGCCTCGAAAACCTTATTTAGGGTTGCCTCGATTTGCGTGCACAGTCCGGGCGCGTAGCCGGAAAGCTTAAATATGAATTATGTGTGAAAAATGCTAAATTTTGATATTAATATGAATATATTTGACTTCGGTCAATATTTTTGGTAAACGGACCCGGACCCGTGATTTGACGGTCCCGGAGGGTCCATAGAAAAATGTGGGACTCGGGCATATGCCCGGAGTCGAATTCCGAGGTCTAGAGCCCGAGAAATAAATTTTTCTGTGAAATTATTTTTCTGAAATTATTAAAAAAATTGGAAATAAAATTAGATTAAAAGACTGTGGTATCGGGCTCGTATTTTGGTTCCGACGTCTGGTACAAGTCTTATATATGGTTTATGCGCTTTCTGTAAAATTTGGTTGAAAACGGACGTCGTTTGACGTGTTTCGGACTTGAAATGGAAATTTGATGCTTTATGAAAAATTCAAAGAAAAACGTGAGTTTTGAGGCTTGATTCGATGTATATGATATTATTTTGGCAATTTGATCGCATGGATAAGTCCGTAGGATGTTTTTTAGGTTGTGTGCATAATTGGTTTGGAGCCCCGAGGGCTCGGGTGAGTTTTGTATAGGTGTCGGATTGCATTTCTCACTTTGGAAAAAATCTGGTATCAGTTATCTGCAATTTTCGCATTTACGAAGCCAGAGTTCGCAAATACGAATGCCCAGCTATCGCAAATGCGAAACCAGCCCAGGCAGGCCAAGGTTCGCAAATGCGAAGCCAGGCATCGCAAATACGATGGACACTGGTTCGCAAATGCGAGACCCAGTTTGCAAATGCGAAGGGTCCCTTGGGCAGCTTGAGTTCGCAAATGCGATCAATAATGTCGCAATTCCCAAGCCTGCATGGTTCGTAATTGCGAACCCAACTTCGCATTTCCCATATCCGAGGCCCAACAAATTTTATACTTAGTCGAATTTTCATCACTTTTCACCATTCTTTCAAAACCCAAACACCATAGGCGATTTTTCAAGAACCACCTTCATCCCAAATCATTTGTAGGTCGATTTTTACTCAATTCTTTCAATCTTTTACATCATTTAATATGTTTTCCACTTAAAACCAAGGATTTTCATGGGTGAAATTGGGGTTTTTGGGTAGAACCTAGGTTTTCTAAAAATTGGGGATTTGGACCTCGATTTGAGGTCCGATTTCAAAACAAATTACATATTTGAATTCGTGGGGGAATGGGTAACCGGGTTTTGGTTCGAACCTCGAGTTTTGACCACATGGGCCCGGGGGCGATTTTGGAAAAACTTGGGAAATTCATTTTATGCATTCAAATTGATTCACGTAGTGTTTATTAAGTAATTGAGCAATTTGTGATTAGATTCGAGCGAATTGGAGGTGGAACCGCGGGGTAAAGCGATAGTTGAGGATTAAGTGGATTTCAAGGCTTTGAGGTAAGTGTTGGTTTAGCCTAGCTTGAGG